GGAAAGGAAAGGAAGGAAGAAAGGAAGGAAGGAAGGAAAGGAAGAAGGAAGGAAGGATGGAAAGGAAGGAAGGAAGAAAGGAAGGAAAGGAAGGAAGAAAGGAAGGAAGGAAAGGAAGGAAGGAAGGAAGAAGGAAGGAAGGAAGGAAGGAAGGAAGGGAAGGAAGGGAAGGAAGGGAAGGAAGGAAGAATGAAGGAAGGACAGACGGAAAGGAAGGAAGGAAAGGAAGGAAGGAAGGAAAGGAAGGAAGAAGGAAAGGAAGGAAGGAAAGGAAGAAGAAAGGAAGGAAGGAAGAAGGAAGGAAGGAAGGACGGAAAGGAAGGAAGAAAGGAAGGGAAGGAAGGGAAGGAAGGGAAGGAAGGAAGAAGGAAGGAAGGACGGACGGAAAGGAAGGAAGGAAAGGAAGGAAGGAAGGAAAGGAAGGAAGAAGGAAAGGAAGGAAGGAAAGGAAGAAGAAAGGAAGGAAGGAAGAAGGAAGGAAGGAAGGACGGAAAGGAAGGAAGAAAGGAAGGGAAGGAAGGAAGGAAGGAAAGGAAGGAAAGGAAGGATTTAATGCATGCCTAACAGCAATGCAGTTTTAAGATCTCTATAGGACTGGCTTATTGGCTTTACAAAGAAGACAACATCTGCTTCCCACACAACGGAGAACCACATAGGGTTGACTCTGAGAATCAACCTCTCAGTTAATGAGAACTTAAATACAAATGTTGCCGATAGAAATGGATGGGTGGATGGATGGACAGACAGACCACTGATAATGGTTAAATGCATACAGTATGAGATTCCACTCAAACATCGTCTTAAAAAACAAACAACCAACCAAAACTTTCTATATCTGTCTTCCACTTAAATCTCACTGTTTAATTATTAGTAGTCAACTTTATGTAGGTTCCATGGCAAAAAATAAAAATAAAAATCCATTTGACTCATTTTGGTAGTGAGAGTAACAGTTGAAAGGGCTGCAATGTTCAGTTGATCATAATAAAATCTGTCTGTATATGTACACACACATTTTTAAAAAGGCTTGTAAAACACCCATTTTAGAAATGGAAGCTCTGAAAAAGAAGCATATGACTTTTAAGATAATGACTACCCTGGAGGACCTATTAGTCAGCTTTTATTATTTGGATTTCATTAAAACAATTTTGCATTGGACGTGGTGACTGCTCACATCTGGGCTCAATTCAAAAATGCTGCTTTCAACCTTTAAAGCTTACGGAGGTTTGAGAAAAACTACTACCTTGGCCTGAAAGAGGAGGAAAGATTTGGCTGCAGAGGCGTCCATGAGTTTGTGTGTTTGTGTGTGTTACAGTTTTAAAATAATCATAGAATCATAAAGTTGGAAGGGTCCTTAGAGGTCTTCTAGTCCAACCCCCTGCTTGCGCCAGAGACTTTATAGATTATGAGGGCTTTGTGTCACCATCTTGGCTTTTTTGACCTGGTAGATGCTCTCTTTGGTTATGAGGAAGAATCTTTGAAGGGATATAGGCCTTTGATTATGAAATGTCCTCTTCAGGAAATAAAATCAGCTCCTTTTCTGTTTGATTGGTTAGTTGATCTTCAGATATGCCCTAAATATGATTTTGTTCTGGACCCTCGGCACTGAAAGAATACGACATGTATGAGTTCGTTCTTAGTTTTGTATCCTGACTGGCTGAGCTTGAATGAAATTATTTCTGATGCTCTTCCTGTTCAACTTTGTGCTGTTGTTTAATTGTTTTATGACTTCAGTTGATTTCATGGTCCAAAGTATGCTGTTTTGGGGAAAACCATGTCCTCTTAAAAATCACCAGGCCATTTACTAAAGGAATGGTTATTGATGACTTTTGTTAGGTTTATATCCTGCCTTTCTTCCAGGAGGTGGTACATACTGGATATCTTTCCTTTTTTTTTCCTGAAAGAACCACCATGTAGCTTGGATCAGGCTGAGAGATATTAACTTGGCCCAAGTCACCCCAGGAATTTTCATGGATGAGAGTAGACTTGATCTTTCCAATCCCGGTCCAATATCTGGACCACTACAATAAGAAAAATGTGTAGGCCTATTTGGATGATTGTATCTCACTCCCTTACTGTACTGAAGTAATTCCCATTTTATGAAGGAATGAAGATCAGCACAAAAAAAAAAGGACTGCCCACTTTATATTTTTATGATTCAAAGGGCAGCTTGTAACCAAATGGAGCTCTCTACTCCAACCGTACCATGCTAGCCTAGTTCACTGCAATCATATTTTTCTTACTCCTTATTGAACTTGTAGCCTATATAGTTCTTTTGTTTAAAACTTTTTATTAATTTTCCAATGTTACAATTGTATCTTTGAAAAGCAACGTGGTGTCTGAGTTACAATAATTCCATTGCATACAAATATTATTAATACAAATCTCCAACTATTACAGCCAATATTTCCTCTCTCTTTTCCCTTAATACATACTGTCTCTTGTTTAAATTAGTATACTTCTTATTCTATCCATCAGCTACTTAATAGCTTTCTTACATTTGTCAATAATTTTATATGTCTTATTTATTTTAACATTCCATCTTTTGGACCATCAATAACCTTATGAATTTTCCCAGCTTTAATTTTGCGTTGATATTTAAATTAAATGTTTAATACTTAATTGTAGCCTATATAGTTCTGTTTGTCTGTCCGTCTGTCTGTCTGTCCATCTATCTACCCATCTCATCTCTCATCTAATATCTGTTTGTCTGTCTGTCATCTATCTAAGTTAGATGAAAGGCAAGACAATAGATGAACAAGGCATTAGGACCAACCCAAATGTCGCCAAAATGTTTCCCTAATTTTTTTTTCTTAGTAAAGAGCTACGATAACCCTAAAAAGAGCAAGGAAGGTAAAATGTGCCAGTGAAACTAATATTAAGAATTTCTGGAATACTATTTTTCTGCAGCATCGTCCCTTGCATGGGATCATGTTCTCATCCTGAAGCTGAGAATGGACGGAAATCAGTGCTTATGCTATGGTGCAAGGGATTCATTTTATTTTCCACCTGTTCTTTCTGAGTATAGTTTAGAAACGATCAAAGTGGATCCCCCTGAATTATTTTATTTTATTTTTTTAATTTTATATCCTACTTTCAAGGCAGCGAATATAGAGTAGCTAGTACTCCTTCCTTCTATTTTCCCTACAACAATATTGTGAGGTGGGTTGGGCTGAGAGTGTGTGACTGGCCCCAAATCACCCAACGGCTTCCACGCCTAAGGTGGGACTAGAACGCACAGTCTACCAAATAATTGGACCGAAGTCACCCAACCGGCTTCCATGCCTAAAGCGGGACTAGAATGCACAGTCTACCGAATGATTGGCCCCAAATCACCCAACGGCTTCCATGCCTAAGGTGGGACTAGAACGCACAGTCTACCGAATAATTGGCCCGAAGTCACCCAACCGGCTTCCATGCCTAAGGCGGGACTAGAACGTACAGTCTACCGAATAATTGGCCTAAATTCATCCAACTGGCTTCCATGCCTAAGGCGGTACTAGAACACACAGTCTACCAAATGATTGGCCTAAAGTCACCCAACTGGCTTCCATGCCTAAGGCGGGACTAGAACGCACAGTCTACCGAATGATTGGCCTAAAGTCACCCAACCAGCTTCCATGCCTAAGGCAGGACTAGAACGCACAGCCTACCGAATAATTGGCCTAAATTCATCCAACTGGCTTCCATGCCTAAGGCGGGACTAGAACGCACAGTCTACCGAATAATTGGACCGAAGTCACCCAACCAGCTTCCACGCCTAAGGCAGGACTAGAACTCACAGTCTCCTGTTTCAAGCCTGGTGCCTTAACCACTAAACAAAGCCTAGGTCTCATTCACTGAGAGAGATTGCTTGCATCTCACAGTACGTGGTGTCTGCGTATGAGATGGCTGGACTGCCTCCACCCTAAGCAGAACGACACTGAAATAACATTAGTTATCAGTAGCACGATCAATCTGTGCTACCCCACTTGATCTCTAGAAGCTTACCCGTTCACCACATCAGTACCAAAGATGTCTAAACTGGAGGCCGGGTCAAACCCTTCTACACTGGAGAGGATTCAGAGGGCCAGGAAGGATGGCGAAGACACCCCTGGTGTGATTTTTAATCTGACTGGCAAACTTTCCTGCAGATGCATCCAGGTTGAAGCATTAGCCCATGGCTCACCTTCTCCCAGAACTCTTGTGAAAACTGAAACCATGAATCTCGGCTGGACAAATTGAAAAGACCGTCCACTCAAGGGTGCAGATCATTGGCTTCCTAATACCGTATGTTGCAGTGATATCCTTCGCTGGTTGTCGGGAACCATAACATACAGAATAAGCAGAAATGTCTGAATGCACACAAGATTCTCGGCGGTGACATCATGTCCTGGATATGGCCTCTGAACTTTGATATCTCATACCCCCTTGGACCCTTCAGGCACTACTCAACATTCAAAAACCAGACACAGATCCAAAATTATTTTGAGCACCTATGGAAATGACTGCATAAAGGGTCGCTCTGGGTTGGTTCTGTACTTCACCTGGGTATTCTGAATTAGCTCCCGAGGCAGAAAGAACCCCCCCCCAAATGCAGTTTTTCTCTTTAGGTTGCTAAAATGCTGCTTGAAGTCTTCTCTGTTTCTACCAACCAGATAGACTGTGGCAAATCATGTTAATTAATAGTGGGAGAATGTAATTGCATCCTTGGGAAGTGGGTTGGTGTTTTGTTTTTTTTCCCTTTCATTACCTTGCTTCTGCTGCCAGGACCACTGATGGCTAATTCGTGTGCGAGCTCTCGTGCTGGTTCCTTAAGGTACCACCATTGGATTTCCAAGGAGTAAGAAGCAGATCCACTGGCCCGGAAAGCACAGGGCATCTCAATATCATCTCCCTCCCTAACCGTCACATCTTTAGGAACTTCGGTAAAGGTAGCTGAAAATAAAAAAAGACAAGGAAACTAGAGGGTAGCAGAGAGGAAGGAAGGAAGGAAGGAAACTAGAGGGTAGCAAAGAGGGAGGGAGGAAGGAAGGAAGGAAGGAAGGAAGGAAGGAAACTAGAGGGTAGCAGAGAGGGAGGAAGGAAGGAAAGGAAGGAAGGAAAGAAGGAAGGAAGGAAGGAAAGAAGGAAGGAAGGAAGGAAAGAAAGAAGGAAGGAAGGAGAGAATAGAAGGAAGAAAGGGAGGGAGGGCGAAAGGGAGGAAGGGAGGAAAGAGGGAAAGACAAAGGAAGGGAAGGGAGGAAGGATGGGAGGAGGGAGAGAGAGAATAGAGGGAGGGAGGGAGGAAAGAGAGAGGAAGAGAGGGAGAAATGAAGGAGGGAGGGTGGGAGGGGAGGGAAGAAAAGGAAGGAAGAAAGAAGGGAAGAAACGAAGGAAAGACGGACATTCCCAAGTACTTTTGCTAAAATCAGCAAGGCAAACCAAAACATTGCACCAGAGGCAGTTTCTCAGCCCAGGGAGATTTTGCTACAAACAGGTTCCCTGGACATACACAATCACAAACACTGAGAAAGAAGATGAAAAAAAAAGAAAAAAAAAAGAAAAAAAAAGGGAAACCTGAAGGATATCTAAGCACACCCTCTGAATGCCAAAGCCCTTATTCAAGTCATCCTTCAAATTCTCCCCTGCGTGCCAGCAAGCAAGTCCACGCCGGTCCCTCCTTGTGAACGGGTGGGGGGGGGCTGGGAGACCCCCTTCCCCAACGCCAGGTAGACCTCCCTCCCTCCCACTGCAGTCTCGGCACCCATCCATGTCAGACAAGTGGCTACAGTAAGGAGCAGCGAAAAGTTTGCGGAAAGCCCTCCTTGCCTCCCCTCCGGTGCCCATGTCGTCGGCTCTGCCAGCCAGCGCCCACGCTTTGCCCCTTACGGCAGCTGTGGGGCTTTGGGGATGGTGTCCTGCTTCCCCCCC